TCACACGACATGCTCTTACTTCTAGTTTGGCTATTTATAAGGAGGCGGAAGTTACTTTTACGCGTATGGGGATTTGGTTATGTGGTGTTTGCTACAAGACGCACACGCTTCGTACTAAGTGCCGTCATAGTTTGGATGAGATTGTGTCACCCCCGGATGAAGGAGATGGTATTGTTCGTTTTGTACTTTATGGTTTCTCTAAGCCACAAGCTCCATCTTCTCCACCTCGGCTTGGGCGCTTGGGTGGTTTGGTGCAAGATCAACATTGTGGATTTGATGTGGCTCTCCTTGATGGTTTGTTCTCTAGGGGATTTCGCACTGTGAAGTCTATCCCTCCCAAGTGTTGTTTGGGATTTTCTCGGGTTTTGAAAGGTGCTCTTGATAAGGTGATCTCTAAGCCTGATGACATTTCTAATTGAGTCTCTCTGTTGGTGTTACCTCTATGCACCCTTAAAACCTTTCTCCCGCGGAGTAGTCGTGAGTCTCGGTCTTCAGTGAAACGTCGGCATCAGGAAGAGAGTATTTCCCGTGCTATTTGTTCTTCGAGTGCGCCCGGTGGTAGTTTGCGGCTTGTGAGGGAAACTTTGGCAGAGGATTCTCCTACTTTGTCGGTCTTTGATGATGAAGACCTTGATTTGTAAGAGCGTAATATCAAGCAGTGTCGTCGGAAGATATGCGATGGTCATTACACCGCTGCAGTCGGGGTTCTTTCTTCTTCAGGCATTGCTCCTTATAATGAGGCCACTCTTGCGGATTTACAATCTAAACACCCTGCTTCTCGAGCTCTATCCTTGCATGATATACCTGTTGATGGCTTTCATCTCGTTACTAATTCTGTTGTTGTTTTGGATCGGATTAAGAGTTTTCCACATGGTACATCAAGTGGTAGAGACGGTTTACGTGCTCAACACCTTCTGGATTGCTTGAGTGGTGCTGCTGTTGCTGTATCAGATGAGTTAGTTGGCTCAATTTCCGGGGTGGTTAATCTCTTTCTAGCTGGTAAGTGTCCTATGGAACTAAGAGAGTATATTGCTAGTGCTCCTCTTACCCCACTTGTCAAGCCCGGTGGTGGAATTCGTCCTATAGCTGTGGGTACTATTTGGCGGCGTCTGGTTTCGAAGGTAGGTGCTGTTATGGTTGCAGTCTTAAGGAAGTTACTTTGATGGTCTTCAATTTGGCGTTCGGGTTTCTTCAGGTGGTGAGGCAATTTTTTATGTTGTGAATTGGTTGATTGAGGACTGTGGCTCTAATGTGGGTCTTTCTATGTTGTTGGTGGATTTTCAAAATGCCTTTAATCTTGTTGATCGTACGGTCATGTTGTGTGAAGTTCGTCGTCATTGTCCGGGCATTTCGCGATGGGTTGAATTCTGCTATTCTAATCCAGCCATATTGTATTATGAGGACCAATCCTTATGGTCGTGTCAAGGAGTGCAGAAGGGTGATCCCCTTGGTCCTCTACTTTTTGCTTTGGTTTTACAGCCCCTGGTTTTTAAAATCAAAGATGCTTTTGAATTATGTCTTCAGGCATGGTATTTGGATGACGGCACTGTTATTGGTGACACTTTGGTGGTGGGGAAGGTTCTGCAGTTGATTATGGAGGAAGGACCTCGTTTTGGGTTACATCTTAATGTGGAAAAAACTGAAGTTTTCTAGCCTACAGAAGACCCTCGAAGCAAGCTTGTGGGTGTTTTTCCGCCTAACATAGCTCGACCTTTGTGTGGTGTTAAGTTGCTTGGCGGACCTACTAGTTTCGATTCCGGTTTTAGTGGTGAGCTTGTGATGCAGAGGGTGACCAAGTATTGCGCTTATGGATAAGGTTGCTATGCTTGATGATCCTTAGTGTGAGCTATTGTTACTTAGGGCATGTACCTGAGTTTCTAAACTCTATTTTGCATAGCGTACTTGTCCTCTTAGTACTTTTGAGATGGCTCAGCGCACATTCGACGGGGCTCTTCGATCTTCTTTGTAGCGTATTGTTACTGCTTTGGGGCCTGGGTTTGGTGATTGGCAATGGCGTCTTGCCACCTTACCATTTGCGTTTGGAGGGCTTGGGGTATGTTCCGCAGGTGATGTTCCTCATTATGCTTTTCTTGCTTCTCGGTTACAGACACAACTTTTACGACATGCTGGCATTGTTGGTCTGGGACGAGCCTTTGGAGATGCGTTGAGTCTGTTTAATGGAATAATGGAGTCTTACATTATGAGTAATCCTAGTGAGGTCGCTGCCCCTAAACTCATGAAGAAATTGGCAGATATATATTTCACAAAGGTTACCGCTTCTGCAGAATCCGCCTTTTCTTTGTCTCCTCGGCAATCAGCATTGTGGAAATCGCAGCAGGGAGATCACACCTCTGCTTGGCTTCGGGTAGTCCCTACTTCTGGGTTGGGTCAGACGATGAACGCAAAGACCTACCAATGTGTGTTGTGCTATAGGATGGGTGTTCCATTGTTCTCTATCTCGACGTCGTGCTCTGCTTGTTCTCGGGTTTTTACTGGGGATATTTTCGGTGATCACGCGGTGTCGTGTACTGGTATTGTGGGTATTAAACATTGGCATAATGTTGTCTGGGATACCCTTGTTGATATCTGCTACAGATCTGGGACTTCAGCAAGAAAGGAGGTTGACATAGGGTTGTCTGGAGGGAATGACGGGACCCTCAGACCTACTGATGTGTTACTTTATTCGTGGGATCGTGGTCGCGATGTTTGTGTGGACTTAACAGGGTCTTCTCCTTTGACACAGACAGGGTTATCTGACTTTGTTCTTGGACGGGTTGTGACTGATGCGGCTCATCGGAAGCGGGTGAAGTATGAAGCTGGTTGTCGGCTGCTTGGATATGGTTTCATTCCCTTCTGCTTTTCTTCGCTTGGGGAATTAGAGAAGGAGGTTGTTGCATTGCTGAAGCGGGTTCAGAAGTTCTCGACGACGCAAGACATTAAGGCTCGTGCTGCAGCTCATATCTTCACTAGGGTAGGCTTTGCTATAGCTAGAGGAGTGGGGGCCCAGATTGTATCTTGGATTCCCATTAATTTATTGTAGGTTGTATGACTTTATCTGTTTTTGAGATATAATAATAATAATAGTAGTAGTAGTAGTAGTAGTAGTAGTAGTAGTAGTAGTAGTAGTAGTAGTAGTAGTAGTAGTAGTAGTAGTAGTAGTAGTAGTAGTAGTAGTAGTAATAATAGTAGTAGTAGTAGTGGTAGTGGTAGTGGTAGTGGTAGTGGTAGTGGTAGTGATAGTGGTGGTGGTGGTGGTAGTGGTAGTGGAGTAGTAGTGGTAGTGGTAGTGGAGTAGTAGTGGTAGTGGTGGTGGTGGTAGTGGTGGTGGTGGTGGTGGTGGTGGTGGTAGTGGTGGTGTAATAGTAGTAGTAGTAGTAGTAGTAGGTGGTAGTGGTAGTAGTGGTAGTAGTAGTGGTGGTAGTAGTAGTGGTAGTGGTGGTAGTGGTGGTGGTGGTGGTGGTGGAGTGGTAGTGGTAGTGGTAGTGGTAGTGGTAGACCTCATGTTGAAGGTAAAAGTAAGACATTATCGCTAAAAATCACTACCCATGAATATGATATACGGGAACACCCTCATCAAAAAGTTTGATAACTTCTTTCGAACTCTAGAGGTGAAATGCTTCATTCTATACTCTTTGACCATCTTAGACTTTCCAGGTGTGGGGGTGTGATTCAAATGCTCCAATTAAACTTTCTTCAACACCCACTCTCCTTCACGATTTAAAGCTGCATAGATCATTGCTTGACACTCACATTTCTTTGACTTCCTTTTTCTTTGTCTTAATTCATCTTCACAAACTACACCCCCTACCAATCCACCTGAACCAGACACACCCATCGCCTTTGCCCTCTTCCGTGCTTCCCTTCTAGCCCTCATGTCAGGCTTCCCCCAACACCTCCAAGTTGTGGTGATCCGTTTTCTAACCTCCCCCTTAGAATACACACCTTGTGCCCGCATACTCCAAAACCTTGTTGTTGAGCGTACTCTTTGTAATATGATTCAACATCTTTTCCAACTCCTAATCACCATTCCTACCTTCGGTAGTTCAACAGAAGTGACTACACTAACCTGAATACTAGCAACAATAGTTTCGACAGTCTCGATTGTTTTGAGAGGAGACATGCATTGCAAACTATTACGTTGTTTTGTGGGAGTAATTTGACCCTCCACATATGGAACTATTTCATCCCCACACTTCTGCGCGCATGGTTTTTCTTTACACACACTTCCCATATCAACAACATTATTACCACCTATAACAATATCTACACTCCCACTAATATCCATAATATTACAGACTCTAGGAACTAGTTTAGCACACCTGATGTCCTTGACAAATTTGACAAATATTGTAACACTCCGTATTTTTATAATATTTTTTATATATTAATTATTTATTTTATTTATAAATTAAAATGATTCATTTAATTTAAATGAATTAATTATTTAAATATAAAGTAAGTGTGTATAAAATAATATGAGTTATTAATTGGGGCAATAAAGTGTTTTAATTTGGGTCAACATCAATTGAATTGTTGGACTAACTTGTTGGGAGTCAAAGGATTATTAAGAGCCTAACAAGTTGGCCTCAAAGGAGAATTCAAGGAGGAGTAGAATTAGTAACGGCAGTTTTGTAAATAAGTGTTTTTGCTTTTAAAAGGAAGATAAAAATACCCCAAAACCTCAAAGAATTTCACACTCAAGAATCAAGCTGTTAGATTTTACAAAACCCCAAAATTTTCCTTTTATTTTTCTCTCTCCTTTTTCTCCTCTCACTAGTAGAAAAAATGAAATAGGCACCGCAAAATGCGCACCGATTTTTAAAAACCGGTGCAAAAAAAAATAGGCGGGATTGAGGGGAAGACATTTTGCACCGGTTCTAACTAAACCGATGCGAAAAATGAGTTGATCGAACGGTTCGGTTTGAGCCGATGCGAAAGCTATTGTAAAAAAAAAATAAAAAAAAACCTGGCCATTTTTATCTTCTTTCTTACTCTTTCTGTCTTCTTTCTTTCTCTCTCCTCGATCTCTCCTCCTCTCAACAATGGAAACCCTAAATTCCTTCTCTCTCCTTCGATCTCCTTCTCTTTCCTCAAACTAAAAACAACCCTAAAGCTCCTTTGCCTTGCAATTAGCCGTTGTCACTCTTATTCCCCACAGAGAGCCTCTCATCTTCTTCTAGCCCACCATAGAAGCGTGCACTCTACATTCACCATTGACGTTTCCTCGCGTCCTCCTCCTTAGCCAGCTCGATTCTTCTACAATCGATTATTGAACACTATTGGTTATAATTGAAGCTGATGATGGTAGGTAAGATGTTTCTCTTTGTAATCATCGAAAATCAATTTAGAAGTTTTTTCAGTTTGAATGTTGTAAATGATGATTGTTTGAGTTGATTTAACTTTATTTTTTCAAATTTATTTAGTTTTGAGTTGATTTAAGTTTCTGGGTAATGGTTTTTTGGATAGTTTGTGCTGAATGTTTGCGGATTCAGAGATAATTTTTTTTTTTGTTTTTCTCGATCTGAAGTTTTCGATTTTATTCTAATTCTAATATCGATTTTCATTTTTACCCTCAATCATTTTAGCCTTATAATCGTTTTCATGTTTAGTTTTGTTTTTAATTTTCAATTATATTAGATCTAATTTTTCTGATTTTCATTTGAAATTTAATCTAAAGTTTCTATTTGGTGCGATTTCTTCTGATTTTGTGCGTTGATGGTGTGGTTGTGGGTGTTTGGTGCTGTTGCTCTGATTTTCTGTGCTGACGGTGGAAGGCTGGAAGCGTTGCTGTAATGGTGGCAGGTTAGTTTCTATTTCTTCATTTTTTTATATTTAGTTTGTTTAATTGGATGGTTAGAAGTTTAGAACATATATGAGTGATAAAATATTGGTAAGGCATTGTGTCAATGGATTGTGATTCATGGGCAGTATTCATATGTTATTATGTTCATTGTTTTTTCGTGAGTTGGATGCTCAATAATATCAAAATTTGCTACATGTCTGCTATTGCACACTCAAATTTAAAATATTAACTCATCTGCAAAGTTGCTTTAGTTTTTAAGTACTTTTCTTTTTCAAATGGCCTATGTGCTTATACAATTTCGTGAAGTTTCTTGAGTAGTCTTGTTGATTACGGTAAGCCATTTACATATCATATTTGTTGGGTTAATTAGAGGTTTCTTTCTCTTTTGGGTGTGGATGCATTTTGCTTATGTTCTGACCCTTCAAATATTATTGAGGTCTATGTCTCGTTGTTTCTAATCTTAGCTTATCACTTTTTGAGCTTAATTATAATCATTGGTCTATACTTGAAGGCATTCTGATTTGCGCTACTTTTCATTATAGGAGAGGAAATGGTGTTTGTGGTTGTATAAGCTGTGCTGGAGGAACCACGCATGGGCTTTAACATTGAAGGTTTTCTTCTTCTTAAATCAAATTTTACTGAAACGTTTTGAACTTGGTTGTGCGTTTCTTGTCTTATGTAGGGTTCTATTTGTCAGTGAAGGTTTCTATGCATATTATTGTGTGTATATTGATAAATCATATAGAGCATCATACTTGCCTTGTTGTTTCTAGTCTTTATATATGAACCTTGATCTGTGTCAGAGGGTTGAATTTGGGGTATAAAAAGGCTATTTTTTTTGATATGTAGCATTAGTTCTGGCTCTTATTTTTTGGTAATCCATGCTAGTCTTGAAACAGGTGTACTTGCTGAAATCATACTTTAGAGGAGCTTTAAGCCAATCTTTTTTGTTTAGAAGTGTTTTTTGGACTTTCTTTTTTAGTGTAGTATACTTTGCTACATCAACTCATACTTATTTTAGTGTATGCAAATGTTCTTCTTCTGAAATTACAGGGAATCAAATTTTGGACTTATGATGACATTATCTCATAACAAGAAAGCGCCTAAGTGCCTGTTGGTTGAAATTGAAGAAGTTCGTGTTGTCAAGAGTGCTGGTCGGAGAAAGCAAGGTGTTTTAAATGCTCCAAGGTTTGCCACTACTGCTATAGTTGTGCATTGCTGCTATATGTTTGGGGTCTTTCTTGAGAGTATTTTTTCTTTGAAAGTTGCTACTTTCTATCTCTTCCTCTATGCCATTGAAGTAGCATTATAGACACTCTTGCTGGTTGATACGTCTAATTTGGTAGTTTATATTCTAATGTGAACACTAGCTTAGCTTTTAAAAAACTCTTTAGGTCAATGTTTTATCTTTTTAAAGATCAAGGTGTGTAAGCTGTGCTTGATTGCGAGGGCTGTTCTCTGTTTTTGAGGGTTTAGCTACAGAGGAGATTACTTGTAATTAGCCTGAGAAGGCAGAAAAATGCAGGTTAAGAGTGATTAAGAGTCATATAACAGTAGACAAACTACTCTTAAGTCTTATACGGCTTTGGTTGAAGAGATGAAAGATAGGCACATCTCTCTATCTATAACGACTATAAGGGTGCATTATTTTTGTCTAGACTTATTAGTCCTAATGATCTTCGTGATGAAACCTGTGTAGCAATAGCTAATAACAAATGGAGCAGGTTAGGGAATTTGAACAATGTGTTAGATATCTTTTGAGTTAGAATAGAAGATTGGTTTTGACATTAATCTCAATTTTTTATTGTTTTTTACTTAATGATGGATTCATAGTAGCACATTGTTTGGATAGGTTAGGTAATATTCTTAGGATTACATGGATATTGCTCTTTTTGTTTACCTCTGAATGATTGGTTTTGTGTTGAAAATTTCTATTGGCTGTTTAATCCCTTATTTTGATTATGCTTGTGAATGTAACGGCACTAGGCCCAGCAAAACAACAGCAATAACCAGCACCAGGCAGGCACAGCACCTGACAACAACTAACAGCCAGCAGATAGCCAACAGGCTTTGCAAAACCAGGTCAGCAACCAAATAGCAGCATCACATCAGCTGAAAGAGCAGGCAACAGAACAGCAGCTACAGAGCCATCAGCTAACAGAGTAGACAACAAAACAACAGCAGCAAAAGTCATAACAACAGCAAGCAGAAGCAGAACAACAATAGCAGTGCAGAAGCAGGACAGTATTAGCAGTGCAGACAGAAGACACACAGCAGCCAGAACACCTTGCAACACACTGCATGCAACAAAACAGGAAGACAGAAGCAGAGACAAGCTAGTAGCATGCAGCACAGACACCAGCAGCCTGAACCAGCACACACCAGCCAGAGCCAAAGCAGCCAGAAATAGAAAGCAATAGCCAGCAACAGCTAAACACACCCTGCAAACAGAAACCAGCAACCAGACACAAAGCAAGCAATACAGCCAATAGAAAATAGCAGCTTAAACAGCAACAAAACACCAACAACCTAAACCAGAAGCTGCATAGCCACCTGGCTTAAATCAAAAGGTATTTCCTTGTGCCCACTGAGCACCTACAAGCAACTCTAAACTTATGACTGGATTACTGCTGGAATTTTCAAGTGTTGGTTTAGATTGCAACACTGGTATGCTTAGGGTGTAACTCTGGTTTTAAGTTGCAACACCTGCTGATTTTAAGTTAGAAAAAGCCAAAACTAAAGATGTTGAAGTGCTGGTTAATTGTAATATTACAGCCTTTTTTAATGAAAATATGTAACTTTATATATATGTTAGTGTTTCTATATCAATTTAGGTGAAAAAATTGAAAAATTAAAAAAAAAAAAAATTTAATTTTTTGGGGAATTTTTGGCATCGGTTTTGAAACAAAACCGGTGCTAAAAGTTTTTTTATTTTATTTATTTGGACCATTTTTTGCACCGGTTCACAGCAAGAACCAGTGCGAAATCTTTTGGTTTTTGGCATCCCTTAAATAAGGACCGGTTCAAAACTGGTGCTAAATGGGGGTTTTGAATGGGTGCCCATTTGTATTTTTCGCCTTGTGTCTCTTTCCCACGCACCTCTCTCTTCTCTTTCCCTCACAACCCCTCCAACCACCGGCGCCACCACCACCACCGGCAATCACCGGCGAGTAGCGGCAGCACCGGCAGCCAGCCATGCGCCACCTCTTCTCTCTCCTCTTGCGGTTTGGTAACAAAGAAAAAAAAAGCTCTCTTTCCTCCTAATTTAATTCTAAGCTTGTTTTAATTAATTCAAAGCATGATTTTAATTGTATTTTGATGTTGATTTTGGGTAGTTGATGTTGTTAATTTATTCGTATAATTTTTAGATTTTTAATTTAATTAAAACCCCTAATTTACAAACCATATAATTTGGGAATTTAATGTTTATGATTAGGGTTTGATCTTAGGTTGTTGTGGTTGTTAAATTAATATTTAGAACATGTTTTTAATGAGTTTTAAGCCCTCAATTAATGCTAGTATTTACTTATATATACTACTTTTTAATTATTATGATAGGGTTTGATTACCCATTAAAAGAAAAAGGTTCTTGATGATTTAAACATGATTTTCTAGTCTATTTAGTGATGTTTTATATTAAATAAGTATGCTGGAATTTTATTTAAGTCATAAATACTAAATCTTTTTGAAAGGATTTAAAGTACCCACTTACAGAAAAGGTATTAAGGCTTTTAAACCACTAAATTGGGTTAATTAGTGAGGTTTAAAGTATATTATAGTTGCTGGAAATTTGTGAGAATAGTGGATTAATTATAGTTATGTATTTTTATTTGTAGAAAGTTTCGAGCTAGATAATTTCTAGTGAGTGTGGCCGAGTTTAGGCACTATTCAAGGTACGTATGTGCATAAAAATATTTGTGTATGCGTAGTATCTGTAGGACTTTAGGTACTATAAGCGGAATTTCATGAATCATATTCATATGCACCTAAAACAAGATCGCTTGCATAACACACAAGAATCACATAATTATACCTTTGAAGCGTGATTTCCACGTAGCAAATTGATTGACAAATTAGGGAGAGAATAGAGCCCCAAGCGTGACTCCTTTAATTACTTAGTCCACGAGATTCGATCAAGCGTCTACCAATGCTAGATTGGTCGAGTGAAGGGGAAAATCGTGATCACCACCTTTAATGGACAACTGGCACCACTACGATCACCACCACCACCAAGCACACCATCGGCGCCGAGAGGGGAGAGAGCCGTGAAAGAGAGAGAGAGAGGGAATTTGAGGAGGTTAGTCTAGTGTTTGCTAATTAGGGTTTGATCTCACTGATCATGAATTGTCTATTCAACCCTAGGCACCTAGTCTATTTATAATCCTATTATAATTAGACTAGGAACAAATCCCAAAACTCTCTAACTTACTCCATATGGCTAATCACCTAGAGTGATGAGGCCCATCATGGACCTCGTCCTCTTATGCTTGATCTAGGCCCTTTGTGTGACCTTATAGGATCCGTCCAATTGGGCTTTAGCCTATTTTACTAGCCCAAAGATCGTTAGTACCTCTAGTTATGATATAACGACGACCCAAAAAAACGAACTTAATTATCTCCATAATTTGATCCATTATATATCTAGTAATTGCATTTAACAAAGACATAAATCCTTCAATCTCCCACTTGTCTGAGACAAGTGTACAATATTCAAATTCCTTAAGTCAATATATGTGTCGAATTGATAATATGATTGCATCTCATGTCGAGATCATATTAATCTACAAATCATTTCTTAAAATCTGAGTTAGAATTACAAAACCAAATGATTACTATGTAATACATTTGAACGCGGCCACGTATTTTCTGAATTCTCCCTCTTCAAGCGGCCATGACACATTTCCTAATTAAATAGGTAGACTTAATCCAATCTTGTGGCAACCAGGCTCCCACTCAACTTTTGAAGTAACCAGGAAACATCTTTTATAGTTCCCTTTTACGGAATGACGTTTGGATGTACCACAGTTAAATCAATCATTAAATGAAATAAGTGTTCCACTCATGTTAAAGGAATCCACTAATATATCAGGAAGTTCTATTTTGAACTTCAAAGCAGGTCAATAGTTCGATCATGCATCATTCATGCATATCCATGTGATTGACCGAGCATCTCTATGCTCCTATAGCCCATGAAACTGCTCTATCCAATCAATCTTACATGCCAGTCCATTTATTGAAATCATTTATGTCCAATTTAATGATTTTGAACTAGGAACATAAATAATTTACGAATTTAGCTCACCTGTGGGGTTTCATTCACCAAATCACGTATTTGATGATCCTATCCATTCATAATTATTTTGGACATTTATTTAATATCAAAAACTATAATTAAATAAGAGAAATGAAAATTTCTGATTAAACATAATTCTGCAAGTTAATGTATTACTTATGTGATATGTTTTCTCAAAACATATACAACTTAAATTACATAACTTGCTTCAATCCAAGAGCTTTAGTATGACTCTCATAATTTGGCTATGGAAGGGGTTTAGTAAATAGATAAGTGATATTCTCACTTAAAAGAAACTTTGCAGATCTTGACATCTCGCTAGCTAATGATCTCTTAATGAGGTGACACTTTATACTTAGCTTGTTCAGATTTGTAATGTGACCCTGTCTCCTTCACGGCAAAGGTGTCGTTTTGTCACAAAACAACTTGATCCAAACTTCCTCCTTAACTGCTTCTACTGCAGCTAAATACTTCATATTTTGACATTGAGTCTGCGATAGTGCTCTGCTTGGAACTCTTCAAGCTCACTGTTCCTCCATTCAGACAAAAAACGTATCCATATCAAAATCTAAAGTCATCTTTGTCAGTTTGGAAACTCGCCTCCATATAACCTTTGACAACCAATTCACTGTTACCACCTTAAACTACAAACATTCCATTAGTCCTTCTCAAGTACTCAAGCATTTGTTCTTAGCATCTTTCTAATGTACTTCTTTTGAATTTGCTTGAAACCTGCTACACATGCTCAAGGCATATGTAACATCTGGCCTTGTACATATCATGGCATACTTAATGGACCCTATAAGGTACATTAGCCATACGACTCAACTCTTCTAGCTTTTGAGGGCCTTTGAGTTTTACTGAGTGTAATACCATGAAACATGGGAAAAATCCTCTCTTAGAGTCTTCCAATTCGAATCTATCAAGAATTTTATAAGTCTCTTGATTTAGTCCAATCATCCTTCGAGACCGTTCTCGATGAATCTTAATTCCCAATATGTACTTGGCATCTCCTGATTGCTTCATATAGAAACAAATCTTCAACCATTACTTGACTGACTCAAGCATTTACATGTCTCGTTCCCTATGAGCAGTATGTCATCTACTTACAAGACTAAGAAAACTAGATTGCTCCCACTAAACTTCTTGTATACACAAGATTCTTTTCATTCTTTTAAGGAAATCAAACTGTTTGATTGCCTCATTGAAACAAATGTTCCAACTCCTTGATGCTTACTTCAATCCATAAATGGATTTCTAAAGTTTGCAAAACTTTCTAGGATTTTTTGGATCTACAAAACCCTTAGGTTGTGTAATATACACATCCACCATCATATTCAAGAAGTCAATTTTGATATCTAACTGCCAAATTTCGTGATCGAAAAATTAGCAATCGCTAGAAGAATCCGAATAGATTTAAGCAACTAATGGGTTTGACCCCATTTGCAAGTCTATCAGGACTAACCCATCATTTTTCTGACATGGAGTCCATTCTGGATTTTATGGTCTTAAGCCATTTCCTGAGTTAGTGCTCACTAAATCTTGCTTGTAGGCTGTGGATTCCATGCATTCCATTAGGAAATTTTGGAATCCTCAATTTATCAGAATTTCAACAAACTGTTTGTTTTTTTATTCTGAAATACCTACTCTTTGGTATGAGCAACATTAGAAGTATACCCTTCAACTCTTTGAAGTTTTCATTCTAGTGGGACGATAGGAGTCTCGCAATTTGAATTAGCTTGCTCCGACACATGATTCTCGTCAAATTAGCTGACTCATGTGCCCTCGCTTCTGATGTGGTGTTATCCATATGCGTTTGTTGCTTGTCTCGAATCTCTTCGAGATCCACTTTACTCCCACTTGACTTTGTAAAAAGTGATTCCTTTCTAAAAAAGACACCATCGCGAGCAACAAACATTTTGTTATCCGTGGGATTGTAGAAGTAATACCCTTTTGTTTCTATGGGATCGGATAACCCACGAAGAAACATTTATCTGATTTGGGGCCAAGTTTTTCGCTTTGTAAACATTTTACATATGTTTCACAACCCCAAATCTTGAGAAAAGACAACTTTAGAACATTTCCAGTCCATAACTCATAAGGCGTCCTCTCAACTGCTTTGGATGGGTTTCTGTTTAGTATATTTGCAATAGTTTTCTAATGCATATCCTCAAAACAATATATGAAGATAAGTTAAGCTCATCATGGATCAAACCAAGTCAAGCAAAGTTTGATTCCTGCTTTCTAACACACCTTTGATTGTGAAATAGTTCCACAATCTCTTAGATGATCATCAAATTCTTAAGTCAAATATTCACCACAACGATCAGATCGTAGTGCCTTAAATGTTTTCTCAAGCTGATTTTATACTTTATTCTAAAATTCCTTGAACTTTTCAATGATTCCAACTATTACTTTATTAAGTGGATATAGCCATATTTACTTAAATCGTAAGTAAAAGTAATGGAGTATTTAAATCCTTTGCTAGCTTTGAACCTATTGGTCCACACACATCCATATGTATGAGTTCCAAAAAGG